TTCTACATCTACACTTTTAGGATTGCACTTATTTTCCTTTATTTGTACAGCTATCACCACAAAACATTCGCACTTTCTCTTCTGGTCTCCATAGCAATTGTTTCTATGGCAATCATAGTATCTAGTGAATGCAGTTTTTATTCATGTAGTACAGCATGTGAAGAGGAGATACTGACAAGTGCTTATTTTTTTTTATTTTTTGCATTTCCCTCTTCAGGCATTCAGGCAAGCAAAGGGGGACAAAACTGAAGAAAGTGTTTGTTATTATTTTTTTCCTCTATCAGGAATTATATTCAAAATGCCAACCCGCCAGATGAAGAGATTATAAAAAATGCATTCTGTAAGGCTTAACTAGGAAAAGAAAAGTCAGGGAAGGAATGCTGTTTACAAAGACCAGATTTCTTTTAAGATGATATTTCCTTTTTTTAAGATACTCATCGATACTCGTTGCCAACACTTACCAGTTTAGCTGTTCAATGTTCCTGAATCTGCTGTTTTATCTCAGCTGGAAAGTTCTTACTGGCCTTCTTGACCTCCACAGTGCAGATGCTTTCCCTACCTCATTCCACAAACATTAAAATTGCAAGAGGCATCATTTCAATTTCCATTTATTGAAATGGAGAAAATCTCCAACATGCAGCTCTAATAAATTAACTCATAGTTGGAATTCATGCAGCAAGAATTGTTTTGGCCTGGAGATAGCATGCAAAAGTGGGCATGATGCTTAACATTTATCTTATATTTTTATATTTTTGTTCCTTCAAGTGGGTTTCTCCCTCTTTTTATTCCTGGCAACTGCTTGGGCAAATCTCAGCAGTTTTCCTGGGAAGGTTTTTCAGAAGTGATTTGGCATTGCTTGTTTCCTGGATTTGGGTATGTGTGACTGGCTTAAAGTCATCCAGCTGGTTTTCTTGCCTAAACTTGGACTAGAACTCACAGATCCTCAGTTTTTAATCTGGTGCCTTAACCACGATACTAAACCTGGTTTTTGATAGTATCTTATGCCCAATGTTAAATTGAAAGCATTTTTAATCCAGCCCACTCTCAGTGGACATTGGACAGTAAATAGAACAAAAACAATAATGTTGAAACAACAACTATTAGTGCAATACTACTCTTATTAAATACCATCACAATATACACTCACATTGGGCCATAGGTGCAACAGGATTATTATTTTTTCTTAAGCTAGTTGCAAATAATCAGGAGGGTAGGATGTTCATATACCTTTGGGGCAAAAGGCCTCCATTAAGTGAGGCTACTGCTAAGATAACTCACCACCTTATCTATTCTCCTCATACCTCAGAAAGGGAAGGGAATTCTCAACAAGCTTTTCCTTCCTTCCTTCCTTCCCACCTATTCAGACTAAAGATTGCATGTAAAAAAATCCAGAGCACCCTATCCTCCTAATGGAATACATTTTAAAATTGTTCAGTATATTTCTTAAAATTATTGTCAAGTGTGTCTATTCAGTTCTCTGATATCTATTAATTCATCTGACCTGGGAAGTAATGGGTGTGCTTGTTAATTAATACATGCCAGGATCCAAACAAACATTTAATCATTTAAAACCTGAACTTTGTTTTGACAATTCCTTTCCAATATTTTTTCTACTGTTGCTGTGAAAATGCAGCACAACATTTATCTTCATTACTTAAAGCTTTCTGAAGATATTTATGTATTTCTAAAAATGTATTTATCATTTTGTGTCTAAAAGCTGTCTAGCTGATCTCCAATAATAGCACAAATAAAATTCATATGTCACTCTTAACATAATAGTCATAAAAGCAACAATTAAAAGCAGCAATGCTGAAAAGCATAAAAACAAAAGTAATGCAGATAGAAATATTATTGAAAAGAGCACCATATTAACAAAACACCAAAGCCTGAAAGAATAAGAAGCTTCTGGTACTGAGAAGGGAACTACTTTGGAAGAAGGCATGGCATGTTAGAAGGAAGAAGTCCTATTGAACCAACAACCCAGTAAGGCTGTAAGGTAATGGCCCCTCCCTCAAGAGGATAAAAGCCAGGTTTGAAAAAGTGTTCTTTGCAGAAAGCAAAGAAGCTCTGAAGTTCAACTTGTGGACATCTTAGTTCATGTTTGGAGAATCTTGTAAATTAGTTCTTATCTCTCGGTTTTTGGCAGCATGGACGAACAACTTGGCAAGGCTCTTTCTTGTCAGAGCTAATTCGTGGAAAACAGCCTTTTATCTGTAAAGGAACAGAATTCGTTATTAAACCTTAAAAGGTGGGGCTGCTGCCTTTGTCTGTGTTTGCTCTTTGGGAACCCAGTTGGGTCAGAACAGTAACTTACTTCGGTTCACCCCCTTCTCTTTCCCAGAATTAGCACCTTCCCAAGAGGTGTCTCAGGTGAGGACAGAAATGTTATTTCATATATTTGTTTCTAAGCCATGAGAAGTGTTGATGTTATACAATAACGTCAACACTTTGAATGTGCAAAGAACCAGTGAAGACTATACAATATACTCAAGTCCCCTAGATGCACTCTCCAGTGTGATGCAATCATTCAGTTGCTTGGGCTAGAAATAGGGAGATTCAGGTTAAAGTCTACCCTCAGCCAAGGAAGTTCATTAGGTATCTTTGAGACAGCCTTGGTCAACTGATCCCACTAGATGATAGTTGTGAGGAAAAACTGCAGAAAGGAATGCTCTAGGCACTGCCATGAGTTCCTGGACGAAGTTGGAATATGTAACTAACACATTAATAATATACTCTAGCAGCCATACATTTTCAATCTGCTCCAAGGCCCAGTTTACACCTGCACAGCACTTTGAGAACCAGATTATTTTTATCCAAGAAAGAACATACCAATTAATCCTGATAAAAGGATTCCTTGAAACAGATATTATGTGTTACTTCTTTTTTTAAGGATTATAAAATAGCATGCAGGTTCCTTCTTCTAATTTTATCCCACAACTAACAGAAACCCGATAGCTAGAGACTGACATCAAATCACCTTGAACTTCCATTGTTGAATATGTGTTTGAAGTTAGGTCTTATCTATCTCCATAAATTAATCTAAATATTAAAACTAAGATTTGGTCTGTGCAATAGACTATCTTGAAAAATGAGTGCTTAGTTTATGGCTCAGAATAGTGTGTGGATTTAGATAGTGTGATTGATCCAGGGTTTGGAAAATTGTGTAAATGCAGGAAATTAGCTTAATTACAGAATGCTATTGAAGTTGTTTATATTTTGTAACCTCTATACTCATATACCGTGTTTCTCCAACAACACGGCCTCCCCCAATAGGAAGTCCCAGCATGTTTTATAAGCATAAAATCAAATTAAGCCCCTCCCCCAAAATTAAGGCCTATATTAAACATGCGAAATGGGGGGAAATGGCGGGGGAGCCTTGCCATTAGGAAGTACTTTTGTTGCATACCTGGATATGGTGCTGCCTGCGTTGACTTCGGCGTTCATGGGGCACTTCATATCGGGAGACCTTCTGCCACCCTTGCTTTCCCTTCTCCCCATTTGGCGCAGCCACGCGTGGCCAGCCAGGGCTCCTCCCTGCAACTGGAGCCCAGCAGAGACACTCAGCTTCAGGCGCTCCTGTCGCCGCCTTCGAAGGCAAAGCCAATTCTTTTAAAAATGATGCCCTACTACTGGTATGACAAAGCCTCCTCTGCCCGAGAGGGCAGCCCAACCCCACGTGGGGAGGCGAATCTCCTGGGGCCGCAGCGCAGGATCGGCCCACCCTGGGAGAAGCACCCAGCCGCCATCCCTGCCTGGCACTGGGCAGAGCACAAAGAGCTTCGCCTGGAGCACCCAGCACAGCTGACAGGCAGGCCTTCCTGCCCGGTGGCAGAGCTCTTGCCAAGGCACCAAGTGCCTCCCTGCTGGGCCCTTCGCTCATCCCGCCAGGGCCACGCCAGAGCCATGTGGCCTGGGCAGAGATGGGAAAGCAAGCCAAGGGTGTATGCCCGCCTGCCAAGTGAAAGAGCCGGGCCAACCCTAGCTTGGCTTCCTTCCCAAGCCCCTCCAGCATGACCCTGAAGGGGTGACCAGGAGAGGCTGCCCGAGGCAGTGATAGCGCCCACCCATCCGTGGACAGGGAGGCGAAATGATGGCAGCACTGCTTCCCTGGCTGGAGGGTCCGGCGGAGAGAGTCCGAAGCCACCCATGCTTTCCACCCCTTGCCCAGCCCGTCCCCATCCCCGCGCATCTCCAAATGCACCAGCAGCTCCAAACACTGTAGCTGCACAGGCATCAGGCAGAGGTGCTCACTCGGCAGGGCTCAGCTCGGAGGAGGACGTGGCACAGGCCATCGTCTTGCCTCCCTGTCCACGGATGGGTGGGCACTATCACTGCCTTGGGTGGCCTCTCCCGGTGGCCCCTTCGGGTTCGGGATGGAGGGACTTGGGAAGGAAGCGAAGCTCGGGTCGGCCCGGCTCTTTTGCTTGGCAGGCAGGTATGCACCCGCAGTTCGCTTTCCCGCCTCTGCCTAGCCCGCACAGCTCTGGCACAGCCCTGGCTGGATGAGCAGAGGACCCGGTGGGGAGGTGCTTGCTGCCTTGACAAGAGCTCTGCCGCTGGGCAGGGGGCCCACCTGTCAGCTGTGCTGGATGCCCCAGGCGAAGCTTTTCACGCTCTGCCCGATGCCAGGCAGGGATGGTGGCTGGGCCCTTCTTCCGGGGTGGGCCGATCCTGCACTGCAGCCCCAGGAAATTTGTCTTCCCACGTGGGGTTGGGCTGCCTTCTCGGGCAGGGGAGACTTTGTTGTAGTAGGGCGTCATTTTTAAAATAATTGGCTTTACCTTCGAAGGCAAAGGGAAGGCGGTGACAGGAGAGCCTGAAGCAGAGTGTCTCCGCCCAGCTCCAGTTGCAGGGAGGAGCCCTGGCTGGCCACGTGTGGCTACGCCAAATGGCGCAGCGTTGCTCTAAATGCCCGGCAGCACCGCTTGGTCATTGGGGACCATGAGGAGGCGATTAGTTTTTATATCACAACGGACCTTCATCTCCCCTTGCTCCTCAGTATGGCCTGCCTACGGCTACACGATCCTCAGGTGGCATGGGCGCAGAATGCCATTTTGTTTCCGAGTTTCCAGTGCATGGACTATTTACGACACACCTGTGCTGGCCAGGACATCGCTGCCCCTGCCGACTCCATACCTCCTAAACTGTCCAATTTCTCAGATGTATTTAGTGAGAAGGAGGTGGCTCGGTTACCCCCGCATCGACCCTATGACTGTCCACTGGACCTTCTGCCCGATGGCCCACTACCTGAGGGATGCCTGTATTCCATGTCTGAGCCCGAATTGGCCACCCTTCGTGATTTTTTGGAAAAGAATTTGGCCCGGGGGTTTATCCGGCCATCGTTGTCCTCTCTTTCTGCTCCCATTCGTTTTGTTAAAAAGAAGATGGAAGACTTGTGCTTGTGCTGCGATTACCACCAGTTGAACGCCATTACGGTGCAGAATAGTTACCCTTTGCCGCTCATTCCAGAGTTAATGCAGCGGTTGCGGGAGGCCACTGTCTTCACCAAGCTCGATCTTCGAGGAGCCTACAACCTGGCATGGATGCGAGAGGGGGACTAATGGAAGACGGCATTTGGCACCCGATACAGCCATTTTGAGTACACCGTGATGCCGTTTGGGTTGACCAATGCCCCCACGGTCTTTCAGCACCTGATGAACGATGTATTTCGGGACATGCTCGATCGGTTATTTTGATTTATTCCAGGTCCAGGGACAGCCACCTTCAACAAGTTCGCCAGGTCTTGCAATGTCTTCGGGAACATCAACTCTATGCGAAGCTGGAGAAATGCCTCTTCTTCCAGACTTCCATAGAGTTCTTGGGGCACATCATCTCTCCTGAAGGCATTGCCATGGACCCGCATAAAGTGGAGGACGTTCAACTTCTCTTGGGGTTCGCTAATTATTACCAGACCTTCATCCCAGGTTTTGCCAAGCTGACGGGTCCCATAACCCTGCTCCTTTGAAAGAAGGTCCCATTCCAGTGGGGTCCCCGCAGCAACAGGCCTTTGAGGCTCTCAAGAAGGCCTTCATCGCAGAACCTGTCCTGAGGCATCCTGATCCGCATTGTCCTTTTGTGGTGGAGACGGATGCGTCCAACGTGGCTATTGGGGCTGTGTTGTTGCAAGCCCCGGCGGATGGCGCACCTCTTTTTCCCTGCGCTTACTATTCCTGGAAACTCACTACTTCCGAGCGCAACTATACTATCTGGGAAAAAGAGTTGCTGGCTATCAAGGCTGCGTTTGAGACCTGGCGACATCATCTTGAGGGGGCCCGGCACAAGGTGGAGGTTTGGATGAATCATCGTAACTTGGAACACTTGTCCATGGCAAGGAGGTTGAACCAGCGACAGATCCGGTGGTCATTGTTTTTTTGCCTGGTTCAACTTTCTGTGACCTATATTCCCAGTGGTCACAATCGGAGAGCAGATGCCCTGTCCCATAAACCTGAGTACCTTTGCCCTGAGGACCCCCTTCCTCTGCGGACAATGCTGCCAGCGGAATCTTTGGCTGTTGTCCAGGAACCAGTGGATTTGCGGACTCGGGTGTGAGAGGTGCAGCGCTTGGACGCTTGGTCACAGCAGAGGATGGGGGAGATTGGACCTGACTCCCCATGGACTTTGGAGGAGGGCTTACTCAGATATCGGGGCTGGTTGTACATGCCCATGGGGCCGCTTAGAGCCCTTATTATGACTCAATGTCATGACAACCCTGCAGCCGGCCATTTTGGGTTTTTTAAGACCCTTCATCTTGTCACGTGGGCTTTTTGGTGGCCTCGAGTCCGGCATGATGTCCACGCCTATGTCGCGTCCTTTGTACTGTGCAGGCAAGCGAAAGCCGCAACGGGCGCGCCTCCTGGTCTTCTTCAACCTCTGCCAACTCCGGACAGACCATGGGAGGCAATTTCCATGGACTTCTTAACACATTTGCCCTCTTCATCTAGATTTACGATGGTACTCGTGGTGGTCGACATGTTAACCAAGATGGCCCACTTTATCCCCTGTCGAAAATTACCGTCGGCTCGTACTACTGCCTGGTTGTTTTTGCAGCATGTGTTCCATCTTCATGGTCTGCCGGACAAGGTAGTTTTGGATTGTGGTGTCCAATTTACCGCTCAATTTTGGAAGAGCCTGATGGCCGTGTTACAGGTGCAGGTGTGCTTATTGTCGGCGCACCATCCGGAGACTGATGGTGGGACGGAGAAGGTGATTGGCATGCTCGCACAATATTTACGGTGTTTTGTCAACCACCAACAGAATGATTGGGTGACTTATCTCCCTCTGGCGGAGTTTGCCTTCAACAACTCCCAGCACACCTCCACCCAAATGACACTTTTTTACGTGAATGTGGGCTTCCATCCGAGGTTTTTCCCATTGTCGCTCTTGGATTCCCCGGTTCCCGAGACACGGGAATTCTTGTCAGAACTGCATTCAGTTCAACAGTTGATTCGACAGCAATTGTTACGGGCTTAAGAGGACTATAAAAGGTTTGCGGATTGCTCTCGTCGGGCAGTGCCCCCGCTGGCTGTGGGAGACCATGTGTGGTTCTCCACGAAACATCTATGGGTCGACTCTCCGATCAAGAAGTTGGACCATCGATTTATTGGTCCCTTCCCTATCGAGGCGGTCATCAATCCAGTTGCTTATCAGCTCACCCTGCCGCACTCCATGCACATTCATCCTGTCTTCCACTGTTCCCTTCTGGTTCCTGATGCCCCTTCATGTGCTCTCCATTCTCCTGCTACTACGGTTCCTCCACCTGTACCCGACAATGATCCTGCTGTTGACAACATGGTGGTCAGCATTCGGGATTCTTGCTGGCTGAAAGGATGGTTTCAATATTGCATTGAAAGGCTGGGGGATGGACCGGAGGCTTTTTCCTCGGTGGATGCTTCCACATTCCACGCCCCGGACCTTATCCGGAGATTCCATGAACAGTTCCCATTGAAACCACGTCCTGATCATCAGACTCGGGGGAAGGGCCCTGCGGTGAGGGATAGTGTTGTGGCTCTGAAGTTTGAGCCTGCTTTGTTAGAGGACGAAGACTTGGACAATGAGGAAGAGGAGGATTTGGAAATGCCTTCCTCCCCAGGACCTTCCTCTTCGGCAATGACTTCCTCCCTGATTGTGCCTCAGGTGTCGGCAGATAACCGGGAGGGAAGACCTGAGGCTAATCAGGAAAAGGAAGAGAGTGTATCAGAGTCTCTGACTGAGAATCAAGCAGAGGAATGCTGGCTTGATGCGAGGCAACGTCGCAGGCAAAAGTGAGAACTGCAACGCAGAAAGAACGGATGAATCAGAGACTGAGCTGAGGGACTGACATGCCCCACAGGGAATAAAAGTGGGTGTGTTTGCTCTGGGAGCTTTGTTCGGGACAATGTGTTACTTATCCAGAGGAGCTCCAAGACATAATACACACACACACACACACACACACACACACACACACACACACACATATATATATATATGTTTCAATATCTTTCTAATAATTATATTTATACTTTTGTCTGTCCTGTTTCAATTTCATATTTTCTTTTCTCATTAAACAAAATTTTCTCCTGTAGTCACTGATTAGGGTATGACACCTTTGCATCTTTTAATTTTTGTCCATTCAACTCTTATTTAAACTTCAATTTATGCCTTTACAATTATAACATTCAATATAACACATAAGTTCCAGTCGAATTCTGCTTGGTACATTCTTAAAATACACACTAAGTTCTTAAAGAGAAATTATATATATAACAATAATAAATAAAAAACTTATTCTATTCCAATTCAGCTCTATCATTAAAGTTAGTTATAATCTTTGATTTCTTTAAGATTTCTTTTCAATAGGATATCACACTTCCTTAGGAATACTTATAATATTTCCATAATTTTTCATTTTCTTTCATATTCCTCTTCACTTAAATTTTTATAACTCATTAATAATAATTAAAATGTTCCCATCCTTTCCTAATTTCATTCTCTCATTCTCTTTATTTTATTTATTTATTAACAAGCATTCCATTCCATTACAATGGGTATTTTATCTATGATTTTAATCAAACTTGTTTCATATTTTCTAAGTTCATTTCTATTTCTAATATAACAATACTATCTTATGTACCCTTGCAGAATTCCTATTTCAATTAAATTTTCACCCATTATTTCTATGTCTTCTAAATAGGCTTATACCTTTAATCCTTGTACGTTTTCCCTGTTTCTCTATATCCTGTTTCTGTCCTTTATAACTTCTTTTTCTTTCCCTCTTTCCCTTCTTCTACTCCCTCCCCTTTTTGACTCCTTGTCTCTCTAATGCTAATTCTCTCTTCTGTAATCCTCTCTTCTGTTTCTTCCTAATATTGTAATTACTTTTCAAACTATTCTCTTTTCAGATCTTAATTTTTTTACTTTCTTTCCCCCCTTTCTTTTTTCCCCCACATAGAATTATTTGGTCATTGAAGATGGCTTCTTCTTTGTCCCGCCCTTCTTGTTCTACAGGAATTTCTTACTGTTTCTCATGGTTCAGGATCTCCATTTCTAAAAATTGAAATACAAACCAAAAAAACCTCTCTTCCTTCTTGTGCATCTTCTTTCTGTTTTTAAAGTTCCATTTTCAGTTCTTCCAAGAGTGATACCATTTTAAAAACTTTTAAACAACCACCCGATTGATTTTAGTCCTTTAAATCCAATAGCCAAAAATCCAAAAATCACCAAGTAATCCAAATAATCCAAAGCTGTTTCTTCTTGCTTCTTTTTTCCACTTTCTCTTCCTGGGGTTCTATTATCTTGTTACAAAGTTTCAGTTAGAATGTATCTTTTAGGAATCTTGTTAAAGTTTCACTGTTAATTCCTTTTACTTCCAGGTGGTCTCCTCCATTTTTCCAGATCCCACCCTTTTGTTTTTTCTATTTCTCTCCTGTCCTTCTTTTAAAAGTTTTTGAAAATCCAGAAGTCTTTATTATCCCTTTGACATTTTATTTTCAGCTTAAATGCCTGTTAATGTCAAAGTGGATTTTTGTCAGTTTCTTAATTAAATTTCTTAGTTGTCAATATCGGGAAGGAAAGGAAAAAAAATCCAAATCCTTTCCCTTCCCTCTCTCATTCTCCGCTTCAAAATCTTCTTTGGGAGCAATGTTATTCTTTATAGTTCACATTCCAAGGTACCTTATGTTGTTGCTTTTTCATTTTGACATGGTCAGCCAAAACTTTTTCTTCTTATCTTCCTCCTGCATATTCTTTTCCGGTCGAGTTCTTCTTTGAGCTGGCCCTTTCTGACCACTGCTGCAACCGCCTTCGGGAAAGGGAGTAATGGCCAGCTTGGGAGGAGGGATGTGGCTCTCCTCAACCCTGTTGGTGATCTCCCCCCTCTTCACCACCTCTAGCGGCAAGCACAGATCGAAACCATGCATGATCGTGGATTTTGGTCCATTGTCGAAGAAGCTCAAACCAGAAGTCAATTTTGCTTGTTGGAAGCCAGCTGAGAAGGCCACAAACGATGATCACATAAATACAGGACACTGAGAAGGTTGTAAATGTATCAATTGTCAATCAGCCAAATTATGATCACAGGGACACTGCAATGTTTACAACTTCAAAGATTATTCATAAGTCTCCTTTTTCGGTGCTATCATAACTTTGAATGCTCATTGAATGATTGTTTGATAAGCAAAGACTAACCATAAATACAAAGTGGGTATAAGAAAAACATAGAAGTCTCTTGAAACAAAAAAAAAGTGACAATATTCAATTTTGATGGAAATAAATTTTCCATTTGTTTTGGAAGTAAGTGAAGAAAGGTAAACAGAAACTTCCAGCAGTGTGGATGAGATTAAAAATGCAAGCAATTAAAGGATTTGGAATGAAACTGATGGCAGAGAATAATGGGAGGAGTATTTTTGGGAAATGTATATGGAAATGACAGTGGTGTGTTGTTGAATGGAATTGGAACAAACACTATTTGTGTATGTGTGTCCAAAAGAAAATGAACAAAACGGAAGCCATACATATATATGAGAATACTGAACACTGTAAACTTATAGGTGTATATGGTGTAACTGAAGAAGTACTGAATAAAATTCGGTTTGCTTATGCATTGGTTATGTGACTAGTGTAATTGTATGGATGGTGAATTCTACATGGTGGAGATGCAGCAAAGTAATATGTAATATTTTGTGAAAAATGGATGTTTTTAAAATAATAAAAATGTAACTTCTCACTTTTTATATGGAAATGAGGATTTCGTATGTCAGGAGAAATAAATGTAAGTCAAATGCGAAGGAATGAATTATTTCAGAAGTATGTGTGTTAAAGAGAGGATAAAGAATGAGTGAGTGCTAAATGAATATGGATTAAGTATGGGGGGTCAATGCAAAGGAAGTACATTGAAATCATTTGGTTGTATAAAGAGATTAATGAGGATTGAACAGGAAAGTAAATATATGAAGGAAAAGTGAATGGGCGAAGAGGAAAGGAACACCGACACAGTTTTGGTTAGTTAATGACATTCTGCAAAAAGAGAAATGAGAAATTTAAAGAATAAAAATGAAATATAAAATAGTACTTGGATCAGATGAAAACAAAAACAATGCTTCCATATATTTTATTGTACCTTTCTTTCCTAGTAAACTATTTTCCCAAAATCAATGGGAAAGCCAGCAGAAAATTGCAAGTTTTAGTTACATGATGTTGTGCTTAATGGCCATGGTGATTTGCTTAATGAGCACAGCTGAACCGGACTAATTGACATATGCTGAACATGGTACCTTAAAGATTATATTGCCTAGCAATACAATTGATGGTCCACTTTGAGGCAGCTTCAGTTTAGTTATATTTCCTTTTTGCATTTCATGCTTAATTTCTTTAATCTTCTTTATTTTATTTTTGGGTGGTCTCTCTAAAACTGTGGAATAGAATGATAGGGAGAAATCAGGGGTAGGATTCTACCTGGTCAGACCAGTTCTGTAGAACCAGTTGTTATGATTCTGCACAGTTTAGAAAACTGGCAAATTGTGCCACTGGCTGGCCCCTCCCCTCCCTGACCCACCCACTCACTCCTTACCTGGTATGCATGCCATCAAACTTGCCTGCTAAGTTGCTATCTTTCCTCCCCCCCCCCCCCCGCCGCCACAACCATCAGCTGTTCTGCTGTGTCGGGAGATTTAGATTAGCTCGAAAGCAGTTGGATTTCTTGCTTTCTAGCTAATCCAAAAGCAGAGCTAAAGCTTCCTTAGGATTGAAGTTCCTATTTTTCAGTGCAGACTCAGGTAGCAGATTGCAGATAGATAGATCTCTAAGTGAATCTGTGATTCTGTGAGCAACTCAATCTGCCTGCCTGCTTTGCCTGATTTGGGGTAAAAGTTGCTCTTTTTTATAAAAAATTAAATATTTACATAAATATTTACAATATTTACATACAAGCCACACCCAGCCAGTCATGTGATCACCAAGCCACACCCAGTCAGCAAGCCATGACCACCCAGTCACATGACCACCGAGCCACATCCACAAATTAGGCCATGCCCACAGAACCGGTTGTTAAGAAATTTGAATCCCATCCCTAGGAGAAGTGTATGCATGTTCTGCATAGAATCTGTGAACTTAAGTTTAAAAGCATAATCCTAAGAATAGAGTCCAAACCCTGGGGGAAAAGAAAATCTTACTGTTTAAGTTTTATTTTTAGTACATTTGCACATTTGGAATTGGTGAGTAAACAAATCCATTTGTTTTGGCTCTGAAGAGAATTGGAAGATCTGTAAACGACTGTGCAAAGATGAAGGCCATTCAACCAATAGCAATCTTTTAGTAACTGTTGTTTTCCTTCCACATACTGCTCTTTTTATACTTATTTCTCAAACAATATTTCCTTAGCCCTAACCCTAAGGAAATACTAAAGCATTGTTAATGTTGGACTCAAATCAGTGATTGGGTGCTATTGGTTCAGACCGGCTTGCTGGTACCTGTAGT